CACAGCGTCATCAAACTATGCCTTTGTCTGTTTGTTTATTTTGAATACGCACCCTCTAGCAGCGAAAATTACATATTGTGCCTTTAATTGAGCTCTTCATTTCTCATATTATTTACATTTATATTACTTTTAGATTACCTGTAATGTTCACTTCAAGATACTATTTTCTTTCAAAAATAATAATTTATGTTAAATGTAATCTTTAGCAAATCTCAAAATGAATATACATTCTTTATATTGTACATTATAATTTTGTGATGTCTAAATTCATACGTACCATTCAAAATTAGCTTTTATTTTTAGGCAAAACAATAATATTGGCTATATAACATAATATTTGCATTTTTTTTTTTGTTTATAAAGTGTCCCTTCACAATTAATAATTTGTCGATGACAGCAATCCTTCATGTTATTTATAGTTGAAGTGTAATTACACTAGCATTGCAAAACAGAATAGCAGAACATTTCATAAACATTGTTGCACTGCTATTGGTTGCGCAAACAATTAGCCCCGCCCAAACTCTCACCATTAATTGCTTTGTCATCTTTAACGCTATTTTTAGTTGCTAAGATAAGATGACCTACTAAATGCTTTCATTTAACTGATCAGATCAGTTCAACGTCTCATGACCAGTTTTACAAGTTAGTCTCACTAACCAAAACAAAACCGAACTGCAGTTTTCTCAACAAACGTGAAGACATTTTGATGAATTACTGCAGACTTCAGCCCTCCAAACATTTACAGAAACTCTCACATACTCACGTCATTTCACTAGCATATCAGACTTTATCTTCTTCCCATTTAAGGCATGACTGAAATACCTGAGCTGTACCTGCAGAACAAAACTCACAGAAGACAAACACTGGATGCAAATATAGTGAGCAGAACATTCTGCACTTAATGTGCTTGTTTTGTTCCACACGTTTGACACACGGATGAATTGACCTCCGTGGCACATTTGTGCTCCTTGTGTTCCTAGATGATCTCACGGTCATCCGACACTGAACAGACACCAAACACTGCGTCTGTTTAACTGATCCAAGAACGTTTTCACAGACAGTGTAGCAGAGCAGCTATTTACAACACCACTGGCTTTCCTCAACTCACTTCCCACGGCTCGTCTTCATATCTGCAGTGGGCCCGAGATGTATCGGGGCACTTACAGTACGCCACACTTGAAAATATATGAATGTCAAAGCAAGTGGCTTTTATTTTGAAGACATGGCATGTTTTTCCAAGCTAAATATAAAAAAAGCACATATTCACAGTTAATGTGGTGAACTTTACCTGTGGAGACTGCTGGGAGACCTGGATTTCACAAACCCACTAAAATCAGTTTGGGACCGGTTAAAGTTATAAGAAAAACTGTAGTAGAAACATGAAATTTGGTATGAGAATTTTTTTTCTAGTCCACACTTGCCTGCAAATGCCAAATAAATAAATTAAATTAAAATAAAAAAAATAAATACTTAAATATATAAACAATAAATTGACAAGTCACACTTAAAAATGTGTGCGTTTTTCTTTTCTTTTACACGTGTGTGTGTGTGTGTGTGTGTGTGTAAAAGGATAAAAAGATGCACAATTTTTAAATGTGACTTGAGTCTAAAATACTTTCAGGACCAATGCACATCTAAACATAACAGCCATTAAAATAAAACAAAACAAAATAAATGGATAAATAAGTAGATAAATGAATAAACAAACAAACAAAAATGTTCTTATTGTGACTTGAGAGTCCAAAAAATATTTTTCTGGGGCCACTAGGTACAGATAGACAGATATAGGCAGACAGGCAGACAGACAGATAGATAGATATAGACAGACAGACAGATATAGACAGACAGACAGATAGATATAGACAGACAGATAGATAGATATAGACAGACAGACAGATATATAGATAGATAAACAGATAGATAGATAGATATAGACAGACAGACAGACAAACAGATAGAAAGAAAGATAGATAGATAGATAGATAAATAGATAGATAGATAGATAAATATAGACAGACAGACAAAAATATTTTCATTGCTATTATGATTCATATAGTCTGGACCTAATAGTCTGAAGCTGGCAACTCCTGTGAAACTGAGAAATCAACGAATAAAACAAAAGCTATAAAATGTGCCGGTTTTGTGAAGCTGCACCAGAATAACCTCTCAAGACTTCTGCAGCTTGTAGTTTGAAGTTACTCAACCCATGTAGATAACTCAAATGTTTGGAATAGTTATGGAACTTCAGAACATGTTCACACCTATACATAACACACTTTTCTGGCAAGAGTAAGATTGTTCACATAACCGGATCGCACTGTACACTTTTACAGTCGCACGCGCGCCACAGAGCCGGTAATGGCGACTACATCTGAACGCAAGCGCGCATTTAGACGCTGTTATCAAGTGCTGCGATCAGCTCTGACGGCAATCATAGAAGACAGCGTGTTCTTTCACGCCGCGGTTATCATGTCCTACAGCTGCTCTCTGAAGTTCACTACTGGTCTGGGGAGTTTGAAGGAATGCAAATGAACAGTCCGGCAAAAATAGAAACGCAACTCACTGTGTAAACAACTGTCGCGCGCTACGAGCACGGATGAAAAAATACAAAACTAACGTAACGTTACTGTCAAACGCTCGGGTGATTTAAGCGTCTGCTTGAGCGCTGCAGAAGCAGCATGTTCAGATTTTTTGAACAACACTTACTGAGGTTTCCATCACTTCATGTGAACGAACGGCTGCACGAGAAAGGCAAAAATCCAAGGCACAAAGTTTGACCTAATTTTTTTTTAACATTCTTCAGTCTATTGTAAGCTATCTTTAAATGACTTTCCTTTCTTTCTTTTTTCTTCTTCTTTATCATTGGTATATTTTGTTAATTTGTATAGCTTGTATAACTTCATGTGATGTCCGTTAGCCCCATGTTACTTCATAACTGTTGTTATTCTTTCAATTGCAATAAAAGAAAAAATTTGACCTAAAATGCGCGCGCTTTAGTTGAGGTTAGATTTCTAGTAGGGATGGGGAGTCGACTCCAAAAGAGTCGATTCCTCGACTCTGAATAGCCCTAGAGTCGGAGTCGACTCCAGCACTGGAATCGACTCTCGGTGTCGACTCTGAAATCGCTGTTGTCTTCACTGATTCTCAAATCCCTATATAGAGCAGTGTTGCCAATCTAGCTACTTTCTAGCTAACTTTCAAAAGTTTAGGGACAAATATAGCAACTTCTTGGACAAACCTTATCCAAGTTCTCATCTTGCCCACTGATCTACGTTCATATTTATCACATTCACAGTTCACATTTAGCTACCAGCTTTAGCTACTTTCAATTGAAAGCAGTTGGCAACACTGATGTGCGTGGCAGTTGAGTGCTATATATCAGCAAAGAGTGAACGAAATTAAGCGAGGACCCGTTTGCAGTGCAGTCCGTGTGCGGTGCAGAAGCAGCACGGGCTCAGTGTGCTTTATTTAGTGTGCTCAGTGCGCTATGATCCGCGGCTGCTACCACCATTATTTTGATTTCAAACTCGAATGTTGTTACAATTTTTTCTCTCTCTCAACATAGTGATTATCTTTTCACACATACATATTCACGTGTAAATGATGAACTGTCTTTAACTGAAAAATTAGTGTTTACTATTGTCATTTTGCATTAATGACACACTATTTTCCTAATTAATGCTGTTCAGTTGCTTTGACACAATCTGTATTGTTAAAAGCGCTATATAAATAAAGGTGACTTGACTTAAGCGCAATATTATTAAATGCATTTTACTTCTGTATTAAGTTTATATAAGATGCTCAAGCAAGTGGCAAAACATGTAAACACAGCCTAATCTACTTTTCTTATGTTAAGGTAGTAGGCCATCACAATTTTAAAGGGGTCATATGATGCTGCTAAAAAGAACATTATTTTGTGTATTTGGTGTAATGAAATGTGTTTATGCGGTCTAAAGTAAAAACAAAAACAAATTTTCCACATACAGTACATTATTGTTTCTCCTCTATGTCCTGCCTTTCTGAAACGCGTAGATTTTTACAAAGCTCATCGTTCTGAAAAGCAAGGTGTGATCTGATTGGTCAGCTATCCAGTGCGTTGTGATTGGCCGAATACCTCAAGCGTGTGACGGAAATGTTATGGCCCTTACCATACTGTGATGCCGTGTCCCGGCACGATGAGACAAAAACATTAAAACCCGTTATAAACGAGGAATTTGTTGCATCCAGTGGGGACATAATTATGGATTATAATGACTTATACTGTCTTTTTACGCATTGCATCGCGCCGTGTAAACATAAAACCATGTCTGCATTTGTGATCGGAGAAATGACAAACAACAAGCGCTACTCTACACTGCTTAAAACTCACATTTGAATCATCAGTGGCAAATCCTTTAAATGAAAACATACTTACAGTCTGTGAGTCAGAACAGCCGGCATTGTAGTCTACTCTACCAGCATCAGGAAACAGTCCTCCATAAAATGTGCTGCACACATCTGAATATTTGGGTTAAACTGTTCTGGAACAGTGTTGTAAATACAACTTAACCACTGATTTGTAGTCGTGTCCTCTGTTGGAAGACCAAACAAAGCAGTTTCGCCTTCACAACGAAAAACACGGCGGCCTAGCATGAGCGGAAGCAGCGACTTAGCGTGAGCTGAGGCCGGGCTAGAGTGAGCAGAGGCGGTGGGGTTGAGAACGGCGCGGCCGGCGGATTCGACGAAGGAGCGTCCACATGTGACGACCCCGGGCTGGACTCCGCTCCGCTTACAGATCAGCTCTAGGCATGACGAAGCAGATATATCGTCCTCTTTTGGAAGGCCAAACAAAGTAGTTTCACTTTCACAACGAAACACACAGCGTCTTCACGACATGGCGGCAACAACAATACTACAGCGAGAATAAAAGTTACGCCTTCTTTCTTTGCGTGAACATTTGGGCGGCGTTATGCAAATATTCCCACATAGTGACATAGACATGTGGGGGCGTGTTAGAACAAGCCGTTTTAGGTAGGCGTGGTTGACTCTGAACTTTGATAAAGAATATCTCTTTGGATTTGAGACTTTAGTCTTTGCAACTTTACAGATCTTCTTTATGCACCAAGAGCTTGTAACACTCCAAAGAGAAAGGAAAAATTGAAAATCGCATCATATGACCCCTTTAAGAAATATTTATTGTAATATTTAATATTAAATAAAAAACACTTAAAATTTGAAATATTGGTTTAAAAAAAAAAAACATAATTTAACTAAAAAAGACAAAATGCACAAAATTACTAAAACGTAAAATAAAAAACCCTAATTAAAATAATAATTAACAGTTATTATACATAAATAGCACCAAAATAACTCCATTATTAACGAAATTACCCATTATTCCACCAGTGAATATTTCTCACAGTAGTTTCATTTTTTAAGTTAACATTTGATTTTAAAGTCAATGTAGTAGACAAGATTAGAAAAAAAAAGATTACCAGTAATCCTGTTATTTTCAATGGAAAAAAATATATATATGATAAAACACCTTTTTTTGCATAAAATCCATACTGAATAACTAGTAAGCTATATTTGAGGAATGCAAATATGCAAATAGAGATGCATTTTCAATACTGGTTGCTACAGTGGGAACAACAAGCCTGACGGCAGTCTGTCTGCCCATGTGAGTCTGCGTCACACTCCCAAATTAAACATCCCAGATGACAGAAAACATCAGGACAAAAACCAGCTCTATTACAAACATGAGAAACACAAAACTGCCAAGTAAAGCAACCCAATTCTTAGAAAACGAGAAGCAGTTTGACATTGCTTAACGGACAGCAAGATGCTTTCCATGTGTTATTAGTGCAGATTTGTGATGCATCATAATTATAAATCTTTCTCGATTTAACAGTTACTAACAGAAGAGACTTTTCACATTTGTGTTATTTAAATTTAATTCTGATTAGGTTCATTATTAATAGGTCATGAATAATAGATACATTAGTGCTTAAATGTACAATATTTTACAGCAATTTAAGACTCATTTATCGTCTTTTAGCATTTGCTAATCAGAAAAAAAGAAAAACATGAAACAACACTATTACTGAACAAATGAAATTTATATGAAAATAAGACATTATTTAAACATCTCTTTGCATGCATGCACAGACATGAAGGAAATAACAGCAAGACTTCACTTCCAGGTGCTCCGTTTATGGGATACAGAAGACAAATGCACATCAAGATATTCCGTGGCATAAAATTAAACCGGGTATAACATTGTGGGGTTACTTGGCTTCTTGTATTTTTTTGGCACTTTGTTTTTCCTTTGCCTGAAGAAACAGAGGGGAAAACACAATTTCATATTCATCCCTTTTGAAGTGAATTCAGATTTGGAATTTCTGGGCCCTCATTTATCAACACTGCGTAGAAAAGTTCTATATTTTGTCCTACGAATGAAATTTATTATGTGCCTAAGTACAAGAAAATCTGTATTTATCAAATGTGTGCACGCAGTTCTTACGCACATGAGTAAGCAATCATGTTGATAAATCCTACATGTGTGTAAGTAACATTCTCGTTCACGTTCATGGCCATTTGCATTCAGAAACGCCTCCAATGAACCATATATGGTGACAACACCTCCCTTTATAAATCACGTGAATGTATGGGTCCTCACCGAAATCATGGCAAAGAAAGCGGTACCGACTGAGAAGCCGTTCTGTGCTCTCACTCTCAGCGCGCTCTTTGAAAACGCGTTCTCTGCGGAGCGCATTGTTTGCCAAGTCTTCCAATAATGCAAGAGAAGCCATTGTACTGAGACAAACAAAAGTCTTTTATAGGGTTTGACACCAATTACGCAACTTGTCTGTTTAAAACCAGTCAAATGATAAACTGAGTGTTTTATAATTAAAGGAAACACAGGACATATGTGGATTGCTTAATGCATACTGTGACACTCTTAAATGCTTTTTATGTGTAGTGTCGCTATTCTGCCACTAGATTCTCTGCGTAAGCATGCTCAGAGGTGTGCTTATATTTACACACATTTCTACGTATAAGTACAAGTTTTTAGATCCCACACTTTGTGTGCAACTGTACTTACGCACTCATTTGCACACATCTGCGCGTACGCACTGTTGATAAATGAGGCCCCGAGAATTTTGAATTGGAATACAAGAATATTTCCAACACTGCACTCTGCGTGAATAAAAGCAAATGTACTAGGATATTATATGGATGCCAGTGTTTCTCCTACCATTATATTAGGGGGTGCCCTGCCCCCCTTGAAGGTCAAGTTAATTTGATTTTCTTTACAGCGCCAGATCACAAAAGAAATCATTTAAGGTTACCTTTCGTATAGAACAGGTCTACATCTTGTTCTTTTATTAAACAAACTAAATAGTCTTATGCTATTTATCTTATTTACACGAGGGCATGTCATTTCTGTCTCTACATGGTCACGCATTTATAATTCTCCTCTGCTCTCTTTATCGCGCACGGCGGAGTTCTGCCCCTATCACATGATCACAATTCAAGATATGGGGACAGAAAATGTTTATATTTATATCATTTTATATAGTTAATCGATTATCACACGAATAGTGCCTTTTTTCTTAAAAAATCGGCATGATTACAAATGTGATATTGATTCCGTAAACAATAAGTTCATATTAAGAGACTTACGTTTTAGTCACCATATTGCCTGTTTTTGCTCAATTTCGCCAACAAAAATCATTCCAAACACAGCCAAAGCACAGTATTGCGTCTCTGAACAACTTAACAGTGTTTCGTTCCTGAATGAATCAACCATTTAAATGATTCGGTTCAGTCGCAATGACTCACTTATTAAAAGTGACTTGCTGCCACCTACTGGCGGTTTTAATTTCACATTTAAAGTATCTTCTCATTTTTTAAATATTTTCAAATATCAGTGTTCCACGTTAAAATATCAAAACATTACTTATGCATTTGTAACTGTAGGTTAAAGCATTACATGTCCCTCCGAGCTGCATTAGCGTGTAAATACATCTAAATGACACTTCAGATGCAACTTCTGCAAAGATGAATTTTGTTGATGTTGATTTCATCTGTTTGGTAACAGCCTAAATGTATTATTATTATTATTATTAGGGTTGCAAAAAGGTGGAACATTTCTAGTAAATTTCGGAAATATTACAGAAATATCAAAACATTACTTATGCATTTGTAACTGTAGGTTAAAGCATTACATGTCCCTCCGAGCTGCATTAGCGTGTAAATACATCTAAATGACACTTCAGATGCAACTTCTGCAAAGATGAATTTTGTTGATGTTGATTTCATCTGTTTGGTAACAGCCTAAATGTATTATTATTATTATTATTATTAGGGTTGCAAAAAGGTGGAACATTTCTAGTAAATTTTGGAAATATTACAGAAATTTCTGAAAATTTCCAGGATTTTTTGGAATATTCCAGGGATTTTTGTAAAGTTTACAGAAATGTTTCACCCCTTTGCAACCCTAATTATTATTATTATTATTATTATCATTATTAGATTAATTGACCGACTAAATGTAAGAATTTGACTCAGAAGATGATGCACACTTTTAGAAAAAATGGCTTTTTAAAGGTAAAAATGCCCATGAAAGGTAAAAATCAATTTAAACTTATTGGAAAAGATAAATTTTTATCACTGCTGTGAACTGACCACATAGAATATGAAGAATATCAAAAACTTTAGGAGTCTAATTATCGTTATCGATAAAATCCCACAAAATATAGAGAAAATATAGAGTTTCTTGCAAGTCTAATTACAAGAGAACAAAAGACTGTAAGCTCAACAGCAAAGTCAAGATAACGTATACACTGCCCTCTAGTGGTGTGCTGAGACTGGCTATCAAACACACTGGTGACTGTGACTGGACTTACCTTTTCCACCAGTGGTATCAGCTGCTGATATTCGGCCAATGTCTTCAGTAACTCCATTATAAAGGGTAGGTAGTTGTGCTTCCTTCTAATGTTCTCAATCTTAAAAAGAAAAAGAAAAAAGTCCCATATTCTTGTACTTTCTTTAAGAGGCATTGCGCCACCACCACCCACAATAATAATAATAATAAATAAATACATTTTTTAATTGTAATATAAAAATAATGTTATTGTTTTCCTTTAAGTTATTAAATACATTTTTAATAATAATAATTATTACTATTATTAATAATAATATAATAAACATATATTTTATAAAAACTTTAAAATAAATAAAACAATTATTAATACATTATTATTAATATTATATAAATGACATTTCCAACTATCGTTTTTATATTTTTAATAATAAATTATCATGTTAATAATTATTATATTATAATTATTATATGAATTATATTTATAACTTAAAAATAAATTATCATTATTATTATAAAGTAAAGTTACATTTTAAAAACTTAGTTTATAAGGGTCAATGAGGAACAAAAACAACAGTACTGATATATTTGATATTTTATAGTTTATACAATATCATATTACTTATCAATATACATAATTTTTTTTTTTAAATTAGCAAAATCATTTTAACGTACATAACTTAAAGGTTATCTTTTCAAATATCAATGAGGAAAATAAATAATAATATGAATAATATTATACTGTACTAATATTAATTATTATATATTTATATGTATTTGATATTAATAATGTTAATGTTTTATTTTTTTAATAACAATAATTTATTAATAATATTTTATTTTATAATACATTATACTAATTTGTAATATAACATTTTAGTAGACAAATTAATATTAACGAAAATTAATAATTTAATATGAATGAATAAATACATATTTAATATAAATAATAATGTCACATTTTATATGCATTATCAATAATAATAATAATAATAATAATAATAAAGACAACTTGAGTTATTAATATTAATAATATTCCTAATAATACACTATTAATACGTTACTTTTTAAATGATAAAGTATGTACTGATGGAAAAGTACATACTTTGTATCGTTTAAGTTTTTGGTTCTCTTCTTCAATCTGGAGCTGATACTTGGCGATCTCTGACTGGATAGAGCGGAGATGATTTCCACTCTGGTCTGTGTCCATCGGCTCTTCCTGTGAACAGCAGAAACAGCAGTCTTTAAACAACCTTCATCATTCTGTCATTCCAGCATCTGACGCAGTCAGAAGATCTCACCTCTGTGAGCTGCGCCTGCAGTTCAACGATCTTCTTTTCATAAATCATCTTGCGGTCTGAAACAATGGCCATCAAGTTGAATCGAATCTCACCCTCGCTGTATCTGGATGGGTTCAAAAGCAGAAATGCTTTAATAAAACCCAGTTCTGTCAGGACCACTATCGTCAAAATGATAGATACTTAGCATAAAGTTTGGTTTGGCGGTATGGTTCTGTTCTGGGCAAAAACCTCCCTGCCCATCCATGCAGCCTGTCATGAATGAGCAGGGAGAGCAGCAATAATAACCCCCCCAGGGTTAACAGAACAGAACAAGGCAGATATCATTAATGTACTTAATGATATTTAAGTGTAACACTTTATTCAAGATAAAGGAGTCTGATTAGCAAGGAATATCAGAAAGCTAAGTCCTGACTGTGGCGAAAGGAGGAGTTGGGGATGGAGGAGGGTAATTTGCTCCGGAGCAAGCTGAAAAGCTGCTGAATAATACTGAATAGAGCTTATATAGGAATGCTGCGATAGCTGTCGTATTCCTATAGGTAGATGTGATCAGCTGAGAATCAGCTGATGCAAGCTTGACTCACGTGACCTGCCAGAACTAACGCTAAAGCTTAATTTCTGTAGAAATATCAACTCAAATCACATCGGCTTGATGCTTACTTCTGTATTCTTTTCTCAATGACGGGCCGTACAGCACTGATCCAGTCATCCTCGTTATACACACCTGTAAAATGTGACAAAATTATTAAAAACAAACAAACTGCTTAAAAACAAACGATTCAACATCGATTCCACCTACCTAGATCGATGGGTCCTTCACGAAGTCCGTCCAACTCATAAAGTCGGCCGTTAGCAGGAACGTAACTCACAAAATGAAAAGCGTCCTCTTCTTTAGCCGACGACTTTGCGTCAAACTCAAACATCTGTTGTCTTTAGAAGAAAAAAAATGCAATTTCTCAATGTTATATAACACTTATTATATATTGTAAAAGAGAAGAAACCTTCATAAAAGCACATAGAAATAACCTGGCGAAGCTGTTGTGAACTTGTCGAATCACTTCAGAGTTACTGAGAGCAAGCCCCTTCATCTTAAACATAAACAAAGTCATATAAAGCAATAATAATGAAAAATACCTTTTAAAATAAAATGTGCGCTAACTTACCGCAGCATCAAAACTCTGCGAAAACTCTTTAAATTCTGTCAGCGTTTCTCCAAGGTGCATATCAGGATGTGTACAGTTTAACAACACGCTGACGATCGCTTGGGTCGCACAGGCATTATTGATGACCTGAAACAGTACGTTTGCGAATATTATTTTCTAGATATCCTTTTTGCTCTTAGTAGCAGTTTGCCGGATTCGATGAAATGCGTAATTGTGCACCTGCTTGGCGAAGAAGATCTCCTCCAGCCTTGAGTCTTGAACTATAGACCCCGCTGGCTCCTCACCGGGTTGCCACTTGAAGAGGAAAATCAGACCATGAACGGGCCTGAAATGATTTATATGCACATTCAATTACAGTTTAAACACTGGAGGAAGACAGAATATAATAATTGATTCAAGGGTGTTGCTTACTTGAGATTTTCAAAGTTTTCTGGCTCCATGCTCCATATCTCTTCTACCTGTGCACCTTTGCATCCTAATGGCAACAACAGAGACATCAATGTCGCAAGACTTTCGAACAAACCAATGCTGAACTGAGGATTCAAAACTCTCAAACGATGCCTAAATAATGTTTAAATGCACCAGTAAAAAATATTAATATTAATTTGACAGTGATTTCACATTTCTTGTTTGTATGAAGGCTAAATACCAATAAAAGGTGGACATTTATTTATTTGCGCCATTTTTTCCCTAAAATATTATATAGTTTTATAGGAGTAGGTTTCATAGAGTTGGCAAATTAATTTTTCATAAGTTTTGTAGGTACAGACATCTGTTGTGGCCGTTCTTGGCCGTTTTTATGAGGCTTTTTTAATAGTGTTCATATCGATATCGGAATTATATCGTATCGATCGAAATTAAGAAATATATTGTGATATACATTTTGGCCATATCGTCCAGCCCTAGTATGAAGTCATTTTAAAACCATCCTGAACCTAATGTTTGATTTCACCAATGATGATCCAGAAATATTTAAACATACTAATAATGCTTGGAATGTGCAAATATACTGAATCAATTGTTCAAACACTTTTTTTTATGCACACAAAATGATCAACTACATATTTTAAACGTGCAAATGATGCCCAAATATACGGAGACAAATTTTTCAATGCACCTTTAATGTCCACAAAAAATATAAACAGATTTTTTAGAAGGTGCAAATGATGGCCAAACATACTGAATCAAATGTTTGAAGTCTACAAAAAATATGAATTGAATGTTCGCAACGGGTAAATGACTCGCAGATATATCGAATCTATGGTCGCATGCATATCCAGAGGAAAATGAATTAAACGTTTATTACACGCAAATGATGTCCACTTGTAATGAATCAAATGGTTGAGGGAGTCTTGACATAAAATGAATCGACTCTCTGGAACTTGCAAATGCTACTCAAAAATTTAATCAAATGTTTGAACGCATACTGTCCACATGAAAAACGAATTCAAGGTTTACAACACGTATATTTAATCAAATTTTCCAATCAAACGTTTGCGGGAAACAAAATTAAGTGGAATTCTCAGAACGCTGAATCGAATGTTCGAACGCAATATGATCCCCACAAAAAATATGAACGTTCAGAACAAGCAAATGATACCCCAAAGCACCTCAAAGACATTGTAGGAAAGCACCTATATAATGTCCACACAAATATGAATCGAATGTTCGGAACTTGTCCAAATATACAGGTGCATCTCAATAAATTAGAATGTCGTGGAAAAGTTAATTTATTTCAGTAATTCAACTCAAATTGTGAAACTCGTGTATTAAATAAATTCAATGCACACAGACTGAAGTAGTTTAAAGTCTTTGGTTCTTTTAATTGTGATGATTTTGGCTCACATTTAACAAAAACCCACCAATTCACTATCTCAACAAATTAGAATACTTAAGACCAATAAAAAAAAAAAAATAAGCTTCTACAATATATTTAGTAGTAGCTTATCAGTGGTGAGGTGACTATGTCAAGTTGATGTACATATGGCAGAAATGTATGACGTACAAATGACGTAATCAAACAGACGATGAACACTATTAATAGCAATGATTATATGATGCAATCAAACTTATAGCAAAATTATGTATGTATTATAATATTGTATGTATATGGATGTTTTATTAGTAGTAGTAGTAGTAGTAGTAGCAGTAGTTCTATATAAAATATTTTAAAAATAAATGTTACTATTGTAATATTACAGTGTAAAAATTTAAAATTAACCATACAATTACAATACTAATATTTATGGCTTAAGCTATAGTTAAACTACTGATCTTTTATTTTGAAGGAAAACGTTGGGTAGGCCTTAACGCTTCTCTTTTGTTCAAAATAGCTGGTTATAAACACTTCTCATTCTAAATAGCATTCACTGCATACCGAACTGCTCTGAGATGCTAAAAACACTGGATTATGAGCTGCTCGTGTGTAAAAGAACACAGTGCCATGCTTTACTCTGACACATTTTTATATTATATTATAACTAAATCATAGCCTCTGCAATCTGATAATCGCACTAAGCCATATAGCGCTTCTTTTATTTATATAATAAGTTTTATTCTGATCAATCGTGCAGCCCTAATGTATGTAAACCCTGAAGAATGTTGGTAACAAAACAGTTTTGTTTCCCTCCGACTTCCATTGTATTTTTAGTCCGTACAATTGAAGTCAATGGGAATAGAGACTTGTTTGGTTACCAAAATTCTTCCCAAAAAAAAATGATGCAACACGAGTAAATGATGACAAATTCTTCATTTTTCAGTTGTTCGTGAATCAAATTAAGTTCAACCTTTTCATTTGATCCAATTCACAACAAAAACAGACAAAAATCTCTAAATGATTCATTCACGTATCTTCCTGCTCTGGGCAGTGTGGAACTTTTTAGTTTCACAGAAAAAGACAGTCATGCAGATTCGAATCGACATGACTGAAACAAAGAAGTCAGACTCATTTTCTGAATACTATGAACCAAAACAAACCAGTTACTCAAGTAAAAATCTGTCTTTACAACTTTTACTTGTAATGGAGTAATATTTGACCAGCAGTATCTGTACTTTCACTCAAGTTATGGAGTTGTGTACTTTGTCCGCCTCTGCAAACCAGTGTGTTTATAATTGCGACATTACATTAATATGATAAGATATACCAGCTTGCGGTGGGTATCAAGCAGCATAACAAGCTGTTTTGTAGAGATGAATAAAAGCGGGTGACACCGGAAGCGACTCGCATTCAAATGGCCGCTCCCACTCTATGTTAAAAATAGAGGGTATAGAGTTTGTCCAGTGTTTTGGAAATTTTAATGTGTACATCATCTTTGTCCTTCAAAGTTAGGCTTTTTTTTTTTTTATAATTGATGTTAATTGATCATGTGGATTATTTGTGGATTATTGTGATGTTTTTTCTTTCTTTCTGCTGTTTGAACTCTTATGCTGACGGCACCCATTCACTGCAGAGAATCCATTGGTGAGTAAGTGATTTAAAGGGATAGATTACCCAAAAATGAACATTTTGTCATTAATTACTCACCCTCATGTCGTTCCAAACCTGTAAGATCTTTGTTCAGCTACAGAACACAAATGAAGATATTTTTGATGATATCTGAGAGCTTTCTGACTCTGCATAGACAGCAAAGCAACTACCACATTCAAGGCCCAGAAAGGTATAGGATACCGGCTCCTGCGTCAACAGCACCACACACGTTGAAGACTGACACAGAAGAGAAGAATTGTTGATATTTGTGTTTTCTTTGCACAAAAGTATTCTCGCTTAATAAAATTAAGGTTGAACCACTAGGCGCGTTTCCATTACCCTTCAAATTGCGCAAATTGAAATTGCGAATTGAAAATATGCCTAATGGAAACGCGTCAATTTCGCAAAAACGGCCATATATCACAAAAAAGTTTTTACGCTCGCATGAGGTGGTTTTTCAGGCAATGCGAAAAAGGAATAATTCGCAAAACTGCAATGGAAATGGCTTTTTCGCATTTACAGGCCACATGGCGTATGTAAAAAGTCATATGATCATTCTTCAATGTAATATAACCTACAAGAAACACTTCATAAGTGGCCGCGCTCCAGTATAAGGGGCTTTCCCTATAAATACTTAGACAATTTACACTGCACACGTCTGCGGTGCAGTGTGGCTCTGATACAGTCACTGAAGCTGATTACGGCCACTCAATGCTTGTGTTTATGTTTTTATACAAGCTATGGTTTATTCCAGCCGCGCCACGCATATTTCTGAAGCGGCTCTCTTTGCTGCTTCTGTAAAGAAACACACATAAGCCTCCTTTGAATAAATATAGCCAAAATCCGTCAAAATCTATCACCATAGAGTGCCTTTCAACCCTCACAATACTCAAAAATGTTGGTTTTAATAATAATAATAATAATAATAATAATAATAATAATAATAATAATAATAATAATAATAATAATAATAATAATAATAATAATAATAATAATAATAATAATAATAATAATAATAATAATAATAATAATAATAATAATAATAATAATAATAATAATAATAATAATAATTCATTACATTTATATAGTGCTTTTCTAGGCACTCAAAGCGCTTTACATTGTCAGGGGGTATCTCCTCATCCACCACCAGTGTGCAGTATCCACCTAGACAATGTTTTAATTTCCCATTCGCTTTATGTCATGTCATAATTAGTAGACACTCAAGTACTATAGAAACATATTAGCTGAGCCACACACTTTTTTTTAGATAATTATGGGCCATTATTCGAAGCATAAACCATAAGATATGTCCACCCTGTCATGGACATATATATTACTGTTAAATACATTTTCATTGCAAAATAAAGATGCAAATTATATTTTCTGAAAGGTATGGTGTCCCTTTCCTAAACAGGGTTATTTGTTTGCTTTCAAATTATAAATACATTTAAAAATGTATGTAAACCATGTGTTTTTAAAGAAACTCATACAATTCGCAAATGTATTTTTTCTTATTTGGAGAAAACTGTGATATCTGGATGCAGTTTTTTGTTTACATGTTATTGCCCCCACACCTAGCTGTTGAACACACTGGATTATACAGATATGATTGAATTATTATTTTAAATTTTATTGTAAAATATCAAGATGACAGGGTGGACCAGCACATGACGGGTTGGACACATAATGCAGAACACGTAAAGCATGACAAAATATGACAATGAAACATTTATTCAACTTAAATTTTTTTTTTATATAATAATAATAAATAATAAAATTACATCCTCAGTCACATTGATATGTTCATTTTAGTTTTTAGCAATATTAAGTACAAATGAATGCTATGTCCACCCTGTCATGTTTATGTCCACTCTGTCGAGTCTAAGTGGCTGACAGGGTGGACATTTTGAGCTTCAATTAGCATATTAGCTTACAACAAACTGTGATTAGCTAAATATTTAGTCTGGTTGTTGAAGAGAATTTTGTATATTTAAACTTAAATATTTTGA